CAACATAAAAAGTGCAAAACACAAAATGTGAAACCGCCAATTTGCTCGTATCTCTGTATGGACCCTACAAACCTTCGTGCTAAATTGGATGAAGATCCATCAACAGGGGGGCGAAGTGGGGATAAAACAACGTCCATAAAAAACCCGTAAGACGCAAAATGCAAAACTGAAAATTTGCGTGTATCTCCCCACCCAATGAACCTACATACCAAATTTGGTGCGAAGTAGTTACATACACATACAACAGACAGTATTATTATATTTATATAAGTTTACTTGTAGGTCCTAGTGCAGTGTTTTCCAAACTGTGGGGCGCCTACTGTTGACTGGGAAGGCGTAGTCTTTTGGCGCGAAAGTCCAAAAATAACGACAGAACAAACAGAAGAGTCGAATACGACGATAACGAAACAAAACTTATCATTTTGCTCTCAAATTATTATTGTTGTTATTATTTGTTCTCGCGTTTACTCACTCCTTACAAGCATTTTTCATAAAAATATTAAAATCGGGTAAAGAAAATGTTGATTTTTGCTGCTATCACTTGCGAAAATTATCTTAACGTGAATGGAGGGGGGGGGGGCAACGGAAACTTTGCCGAGTTATGGGGTACTGCCTTAGTGGTATCATCATCTAATTGACTGACTTAACGTTTCTTTCTTTCATGTCAACTTCAAATTTATTTCCATTTTCCCCCTAAATGCCTGTTGAGTTTGTCTTAGTATAGAACGTTTAACTCATTTTTGTCGTGTTTGATGACTCGTGCTGTAAACATATATATTTACAATCAGTGGCATACAATAAAAATAACAAGCTGTCTTTTTTTCAATAATTAATCCAAACATTTTCCTCTAGGTAATTTTCTAGAATGATACCAGTGCTCAAGCAGCTAATTACATTTGTTTGTTTAATATGGTGGCCTCCCAGTGGCACAGCGGCATTTCGATACCCGTGGTGGGCAGAGCACAAATAGCCCATTGTGTTGCTTTGTGCTTTACTTCAAAACAACAACAACAATTTAATATGGTGAAATTACATGAAAATACTTTTTACTCTAATTATACCTGTTGTAGATTTGATCCTGAAGAAGACGTAGAAGAAATATT